AACACGATGCGCACAACGAAAATTACCGAAATAAAATCCTTCCGAAGATATTTAATGCTTCTTGGTGCGTGAAATGAAACCACCCGGTCATGAAAACTCAATGCTCTACGTGATTCACATCGCGCGCTAAACGTTATCATGACAGTCTCTGCGATACAAAAATCAAGCAACCTCAATCTTGACGCTTCGGCTCAGCTATAGCAAATTGCTCATAGTTTGAACAGCACATGGTGGGAAATGAACATTGCTCGATTGAGAAGATGGCGAAAACTGTCGTAGTGCGCGATTTGACTCACGTAGAGCTTTGAGTTTCTCGTGAGCGGGTAGTTCAAAGTCATCGTAACCAATGTGAAATAAAAACCTTAATATCCTCGTTAGGAGTTGGTTTTAGTCATTTTCGTTGCGCGAATCGTGTTTCGCGTGAAATTTTGGTTAAGAAACATGTATCAGAATCCTTTATTTCGTACCTTGTCTAGTGGTCCATTGCTGTGATTGAGTAATCTTACAAAGTTCTTCCATGACTCCCAAAAAAATGGCAACATTGATAGGATGGGTTTTGTGTGCCAACTCGCGACGCAAGGCAGTGTCGATGCTTTTGCCGGTGTCAGTTAGGTAAGAGTGATTGCGGATGCATTGGATTCACAGCCTGGCTGCGACACTGTCATGAGTGCCATCCATTAATTCACATCAGAGACACTGGACAAGGGTGATCAGAAAGCTCCAGCTTCGCCTAAAGAACCCGTTATGAGCTAATGACACTTAACTCCGTGCGGTCCGCGGCATCCTCATTGAGAAAAATCGGAGTCATTATCGCGAGAAAACGGTTTTCTGAGCAGTTTCTTCTCGTCCTCAAAAAATAATTGTTGCAACAGGCAGGGAAGCGACTAGCGACGCAAAGTAAAATTTTGATTATCGCGACCTCAGTACAGTACTCATCAACTTGAAATCAAAATGTCATACCCTTTGTCCATTGGAAGGTAAAGCAAATTCCATTGTAGCTCAGGAATCCAAAGTTTCAAAATAAAAATCCAACATTTACCCTAATTTTGAAACCTTTTTTTCAATATTCGGTCGCGTGAGTTGACATTCTGCGGTAAATTTTTGATAACGATTATGGAACCATAAACTTTTCGGAAAGCAGAAAGGAACCAAGCCACATCAGCTGTTGCCAAATTTAACGGGGCAATTTAGTGTTTTACAAGAGAACGCTTGTACGGATTCTTTTGAAAATTTTAAGAAATTTGCTTCGTGTTATGCAGAAAATTCACTGTTCACACAAAAATTCGCACAACCGTTATCACGTAAGAAAATAAATTTCCCAGATAAATTTGGCAATATCTGATGTGACTTGGTTCCTTTCTGCTCAGCGTGGTCCCATTTGTTCTCTACTTTTTGGGTGGGGGGGGGGGCAGGGGAGAATCCCTCGGGAATTTCTATGTTTCAGAAGCAAGGTAAAAATCGTTGCCTGAAAGGTTGAAACTATATGGTCCCTATTTCTCCAGCCCAAAAGAATATTCTATCTAATAATTTTTTTTTAAAAAAAAATCATAATTCACACCAAAATATTAAATTAATGGCAATCCATCTCAAAATTGAAAAACGATACAGTTTTAAGAATTAAGGAGCCCTTTTTAAAAGGCAAAAAAGTCTTATTGGGCGTTTTTTTGATCTTCAGACTGATGGAAAACCCTCAATTTTTTTTAATTTCAACCGTGGGACTTGTTATTGAGTAAACATTCATTTCTGGCTCTAACTTTGTGCAAAATCAAATGGCAATAGGGTAAGAGGGCTTGAAAAACTTTGACGACCACCCGACTCTAATTCCTGGAGCGGCAATTTCACTCCTCTCCGCTACTGCACGCCGCGGTGGCCGGCGCGGTCGGTAACTCATCCACGGAGAAGTGGTTGATCACGACTCGGCAATCAACGGTGAAGCTATCGATATTTTTCCATTTAAACCTGTGGTAAAGAATCGATTAGTAAAGTGTTCGTTGCGAATACCTCGATAATCGATCCTTGTCCATAGATTCAAATAGCAGATCTATCGATTCATTGCAAAGCACGCCATCATACTGCTGCAATTTCAGGAAGAACGTGGTTCGGACCTTAAAACACGGACGGGCTGTAACAGATGTAATGCAGAGCATCTTATCTCGCGATCGTTACACTGTAGGCGAGAAATGCGAATCTTGCGTGTTGAGGCACGCTCGATTCGCTCGCTGAGGCCCAGAACGTTCTGTAACGGTGAAAATGGACGTATATGTATGCTAAAGTGAACTATGTGACGTGCAAACCTTGTGTACATAGTCCCTTTTAGCATAAATACGTTCAAAAAATCAACTTGCTCATGTGAAACTACGGGAACTATTGTGAATGCATGTCGAAATGTGTTGCATCGACCAGCGGACTGATTATTAAATGAATAGACAAAGCTTTAGACGAAGGAGACAGAAGGAAAATCGAGCGATGTTGTCCGTTGAAATACAGGATGTTCTTATAGACTAAGGGAGGAAATGATGGATTATCTATGGGGTCTTTCGTGGACTGCTGTTAGTTGATCAATTCCTTGTCTCCTTTGTCCATTGAAACCACCCGCTCTCACCAAAAAAATCGCTCCATTTTCTCTTCGGCCGTAGATTTACCTATCAATTTCAATAATCAATCCACAACATATCTAATGAAGTATATATCATTGCTACCTATTGAATCACCTGGTCTCATAATCGGTGATTGAAGCTTACAGATTATCGCGTAAGAATGACCATTTTAGCGAGGTTCGAATGTCGAAATTCTTAGTCCAGTATTATTGAATACATCGATTTCAAAATAAATTGTGTCTAACGGCATCAATTTCTGCAATATGCAAACCGTAGTTACCACCGTGCTTACTATAGTTTAATCACATACGCATATTTGAAGCAAATAGTAGAATTTGTACATCAACGATTGGTAGTCTCGTAGCGCAGAAAACCATTGTATGTTTACTTTTCTGAGGGACTCATCAGTCGTATAAAATGTTAACTTTTTTCCAGATTATTAGGATTCAATCATTAAAGAATAATTACGTGACTTAATTGCTCGTAAGTGACGAGTAAGTGATGAGCATGATAAGTTCCCAACGAAGAACTCCTTTTTGAGATAAAAATTAACCGTATAAAAAAATCATATTCTCGAATTCTTTTTAATTTCAATTTTTTTTCTGTTTACAGGTAAGCACGAGCAACGCAACATTTACTTCTTGCCAGTGAAAGTGTGAGTCGTTTTATTTTTTCGTTACTCATATGCCTTTCAAATTTATGAATGTATCTTAATAGTTTATGTTCTCTTTTCTGGGATTCTTAACCCTTAATAAACTTGGCTGGAATTTATTGAAAGTAGTTTAACTCAAAGAATTGAATCATATCGGCAGTGCATGGTCGCACATGCCGTCGAACCCCCTTGATTAGATCCCTCGCTGCCTCCCCCCCCCCTCTCCTCAAAAAAGTTCCCAGTTCCGCCCAAGTTTTTTCAGTTAACAGTATCCATTAACGTTATTCATGACGCGGAGGACCGAGGCTTTGATCACGCACCGTTGTCGCATGCACCCTGCGTCCCTTCTCCCTTTATCTGGCGACCGTGCGGACATGGAGGCGCAGTATTTGCGTCCGTTTTCACGGAGGATGCGACGAGAATTCCCGGGACGCGCGGACAATGGCGAGTGCCAAGTTTTAATTGCGTATTGCTAACGGAGCTATCACAATAATCAACCCGATCGCGGTCCCGTAAGAATGCCGCTCTTGCTACGGCGTCTCAACCGGAGGGCGATAGACTAATTCAGACCTTCGATACAGAAAAGTATCGAATTTTTGGTATATCGTAGCTCTTCTGCGGGCCGATTATTGAAATTTATAGGCAAATCTTTAGACAAAGAAGACATAAGGAGTATGGAGCGATTCCATTGGTTGAAATGGGTGATTCTTGAAGACTAAGGGGGTAAACGATGGACTAACCATCGGGTTTCTCGTGGGTTGCCGTTAGTTAGTCAATTACCAACGTCCTTTGTCCATTGCAACCACCCGCTTCTACCAATAGGATCCCTCCTTATCCTTTTTGTCTTCTTTGTCTATTAATTTCAATAATCAGCCCGCAGACAAAGGAACGTAAGTTCGGTTTGGCTATCGATTTCGAAGATTTGCGCTTGTGGGCTGCACCGCCAAAGAATACCGCTCATCATTATAATGACTTCCCTCCCTTGTACTTCCGTGCTAAGGAAGAACGCCGTATGAAAAACCGCACATTATATTATTATTCTCCTTTGATAAATTGATACATATTTTCTCCCATCAATTTAAATGAAAATAATCAATGCAGAGTGTGCTAACATTTTAAAATCATGAGTTAAAAAACGCTGACTATGCGAGTATAAATATTAAAGCTGTACAGAGCGGAGCGACGTGCTGCCAGCGCGAAAGGCTCACTAGCGCCTACAAACCTAAGTGGATACTTCACGCATTGCACACTGCTTGAAGTATCCACTTAGGTTTGTAGGCGCCAATGCACGTTTTGCGCTGGCCGTCCGCCCGCCGTGCGGCGGCGCCTGAAGCAACTATTTCACAACAGAGGTGTTGCACAGTGTTATACGAAATTGAACGTATTAGGAATGACAGGCATCCTTTAAAAGCACAGATCTTTCCTCGCAAAATAAATCAAGATACTTATTGTACACTGGAAAAATCTAAGAGCCTTCAGCTGAGGCAAATACAGAGGTCTATCCGGTTCAGGTTTAACAAGGTGGGAAAATCTTGAATGATAATTAAGTCCTGTTACACCAAAGAGGTGTAGAGAGTTTTAGTGAATTTTGTCTCGTGGAATTAACGCTCCCCCATTTTTACCAAAACTCTCAACTATATATTATTCTCCGTTCGACCAAACAGACAAAACAAAAAAACAAGCAAACCCTCATTCTTCCAAGACATTTTACATTTTCATCCAAAAACGTCGCGAGCAATTGTCGTTTGTATTTACATTTGGGCCAATTAACTTTGGGTCTCAACTGGCACGTGGACCAAAACTCCCGTGCCGGGAAAACGCGTGGACGTAAATTACTGGAAAAAACAAGTGCGCGGACAAAAAATCGTTGACGCAATGTCCTTTGACCGGTGAAATTGCAAATCAAATCATCTAAAAAATTGGAAGGAAAATACTCGGAAGTTTCCAAAGAAATTCGTGTTTCATCGAAGGAAATTTGGCAACGTCTGATGGCTCATACGGCGTTTTTCCTTAGCACGGCAGTGTAGATTACCATCTTTGAATGCCTGGTCCAATTTGCCACCTGATGTTAAGCGCACACCTAGGTACTTGTATTTTTCGCAACCTCTGATTTCCGTAATTTAATCGTGACACTTGCTTGAAACTTGAATCTACTGTAACACAAAATTAAGTACTTATTAAATTATGCTTAGTTGTTTTCATGAATTAAGAATTTTCACAAAGTTCTGAGTATTCCTCAATGAAGGATCCCAATAGGACCGCGTTTAGCAGAAAGGAACCGAGCCACATCAGCTTTTGCCAAATTTAATTTTGCATTTGAATCTTTTTACAAGAAAATGTTTCTACGGATTTTTTTGAAAATTTCAGGGAATTCGCTTCGCACTATGCAGACAATTCAGCGAAATTTGCACAAAAATCCGCATAATCATTTTCATGTAAAAAATTAAATTGCCCTATTAACGTTTGCAGTTGCTGATGTGGCTTGGTTCCTTTCTGCTTAACGGAGATTACAAGTAGTGGAGCATGGAGAGGAAGATTTGCGTTAAAAAGTAATCCTATCGCACTCTTCCGCTCAATGTCTCTTTCCGTCCGACAGAGACAATCTTTAAAAGTCACCGTCAGAGATTGGATCCGTGGAAAAATATTTACATTAAGCTCCACGACTAAATCACGCATTCACTGAAAACAGAATCCAGCTTCGTACATATATTTAAAACCCGAAGAAGAAAAAAATAAGCGAACAAAAAATGGAACTAAAAGGGTTGACTCGCTTTCATTGTGGTGTGGGGTTTTTTTACGCGTAGATTGCCACTATGTGTACATTCGCGGAGACTATAATCCCTCTTAAAACACTACTTTATTGCTTTTGTCCCGCTTTTCATCCAGAGTATGTTAATCTTCGTAGCTCCCCGGCCATTTCCGCTTTCATCTCATCCCTCCCTCCCTCTCCAAAACACCTTGGACGTGCTCACGTTTTCTGCTCCCTTGATAGATAATCTTCGGTGGTTTATGCGTGGCGCGCTCTTGTAGAAGCACCCTCGGTCAGACAAAAGTCCCGATTTACGACGTTTTTAACCCTCTTATTCGGTTGTCGGAATGGCAGAAAAAAAGGGAATATTCTTCCTTTTATTAATTAAACCCGAACTTCTCGTGTGTTTTTCTGTACAACTGCAGGCTGATTGTTGAAATCGATAGACAAAGCTATAGACAAAGATGATAAAAAGGATGTGAAGGGATCCCACTGATGGAAGTGGGTGGTTGCAATGGACAAAGGAGGTAGTTACGGTAACTCTCGAGAGACCCTTTAGTTAGTCCATCATTTTCTTCCTTTGGTCCATAGGAGCCATGCATTTCAACCAATAGGATCCCTTTATCCTCCTTATGTCTTCTTTATCTGTTGCTTTGTCTATCAATTTCAACAATCAACACGCTGTATACGTGTAAAAATTTTAATCCCTGCTTAAAAATCGGTGAAATAGTTAATTAATAGAGTCATTTTAATTTTTATCGGTGAACGAAATAATGTGCTTGAACCCAACTTTGAACTCACCCTTCATACGATGCAAAAGCATATCATTAAAAATGTGAATAAGTTTTTGCGATTCTGACAAAAGTCATCGTGTCTGCGACGACAATTCGCCGACACCGACGCGACATAGACCGTCTAACTATACAGGGGACGATACCACTATTCAACCACGTGGGAGCTCGTGTTGCCTACACTAAAACTTGTAGGCAAACAGATATGATGTTAAAGTGATGTCTTTCCATTCAGAACAAAGCTCTCATTTATCTGTGTCTTAAGTGAGCCTGCCATTTCTTGATGTTTTACTATTTGACCACCTGGGAGCTCGTATTACACACTACATAGCCTACACTAAAGCCATCGTACACTGAACATACACTAAACATCGTAGGTAAACTAATATGCCGTTCAAGGAACGCTTTTATGCTTATCGGTAAAACATATTTTTTTAGTACGTTTGCAAGTGATTGTGCCATTTCATGACGATACCACTGTTCAATCTTGCGGGAGTTTGTGTTGCCCACACTGATATTGAAGGCGAACTGACATGGCGTCAATGTAAGAAAACTTCTCCGTTTGGTAAAAAGCTATTTTTTTATATAAGATCAAAGTAAGCAGATGCTTTTCCAAGATAATACCATACTTTTCGCTTCTTTCTCTTTTCTTCTCCAGTTTTCTCTCCTTTCCATCTTCTTCCTCTTCGTTTTCTTTCCATTCTGTCCGCCTTTCTTCATTTCCTTCTTCATCTTCCTCTTATCTACAAAAAGCATCTCTTCAGTTAGCGTGCCAATCACAGCAAAGTTATGGAAACAATAACAGATTTTTGTGTATTTTTGCCTAGAATTTAGCCCTTGATTGTCATTGTATGCATATATCCTCCAAGCTTTGGCGAAGAAAAAAAATTGAACTTTAAAAAAAGCAACATCGTTCAAGTAATAATAAATGCATTGAGCGTCCTTATACACCAGGCTGTTTTACATGCTAAACCAATGGATCTGATTCGCACGATTATAACGAATTTGCAAAGGATGAAGTTGAAATTACCCCCGTGCGGAAAGACACGTATTTCGGACTTTTGAGAGCCGTTATTAGATCGGAGAGCGCAACGTGATAACAGCCCAGTCGCGCCTGTAGGCGTGGACGGAAAACAAACACGAGATTTGTGATGTGTGATAAATGCCGGTAATATTATTTCATTAGTGCAATAGGTCGTTATGCAAATTGTTGGGCGGTTGGCCGCGAGCACACACATCACGCATCACTCATCATTCATCGCGTGCATCGGTGAATAACATGTCATGTTGTTTCGCTCAAACGTTTTTAGCGCACAGTTTTTGGCAACTTTCTCGTGAAATCCCGTCGTAAATTACTGAATTCTGTTTCAAGACACTTAGACTGTAACTGAAAATCGATAAGTTCAATAATTCTAGAGTATATTGTAAATACCAAACCATAGAAAATGTTGAGGTAACTATAATTTATAATTCATGCACACATTTATGTATGTATTTCCTCAGCTTCAGAATCAAATTTAAGGACTGTAAATAACATTGAAAGTAGAAATATGATTTTATATGCTGCCTTTTTTAACAAAGATTGTATAGTTTACTCTGCTTGTATCTCTCTTTGTGCGATTTTCAAAGAACTAAAAACTAAAACTGGAAGCACTACAGAATACTGACATTTAATTGAAACTGTTGGTTACCCAAGCAGTAGTATTAAATCAGGTTGATGGCCGCTGGTTTAAGAGTATCAAGTATCTAATGAGACACGGAACAGATTGCTCATCTTCTGGAATAATAGAATGACAAATAAACTATTAAACGGATACCTACATAGACACAAATTTTAAAATTCATCAGATGCCATTTTTCGAAATTTGAAGGTATGGGGCATATCTAGGAAAGTGACCAATTTTTCCGTTTAGTAATCCTCCATTTGTTTTTTTCCTAGAAAAAAATGAACCGCAAGAGATATTATAAAATCGTTGGAATTATTACGCACAGTTTCGGCACCTTAGATGGGTAATTTCCTATAACTCTAGTGTTAATGGGCCTGTTGCAAACTTTTGCTAGAGCAAAAATAAGAGTTGCTTCCTATAGATAATGCCTCAAAAATTACGATGAGCGCATCGGGCAAGTCCTAAATGCACTCATAACTTCACATGATTGGCGTCGGCCATGATAAGTGTTGCCGACGATGGAACGACTCCTCTAACAAAATGTTCACCTGTGCCGTAGTATCGTTTTTGAAGCGGGAAGCTCAAAAAACCGCAAATTTCTTACGCAAATTGTGAAGTTATGGGTGCATTTCAGAATTGGCCGATGCGATCATCGTGATTTTTGAAGCAATATCTATAGACGCTATTAGTGGCGACGTCATCATAGGGATTCTCCATATCGAATTGGATCCAAACAATAACATTGGCATAACCTCTTTCAATGCTACCAATGCGAAAAAATCGATAGATATCGCTTTTCTGTGACGTTGCACTAATAGTGTCTATAGGAAACAACTCTTAGTTTTGTTCTAGCAAAAGTTTGCAACAGGCCCATTAGCAAAATTGGACATTATGCACGTCTATAGCTATGATATTTCAACGAGAGTTCCCCAAGCTTTTTTTCTAAATTTTATTGTTCATCTCGGTTTCGAACGTTGAGAAAATAGGAAATTCTTGAGAATCCCTGGCCGAATGCATTCTCGCACTGTTCTCAGTGCCACACACGCAGAGCGAAGAACCGGATTGCCGGATCGGAGCAGAAATTAGGGTTAACTCCAGGCCTACCGCTGAAAGGGACTAAATCCGCGCCTAGCAGGCCAACTCAGCGCTACCAACCTACAAATAGCTCCCGCTTGACAGGATTAACATTCAATGGCCCCAGCGAGCCTACCCCTCCGCGCCTGTTTCCTGGCCGTTGAACCAAGTTTACGACCAGTTTTTCTATTTTTCCCGCTTCCTGGCTTTTCTTGCCCCCACCCCCCTCCCTCCTCTCTTCCGCACCTCCGCACAGAAGTTGCGGCGGTAGAACTGATCTGGTCGTGGTGTAATTAATATTGACTTGAGATCTTTAAGTTTTTGCTGTCACGCTCCTATTTTGGAGTGAGGAGTTCGCTACGTATGTCTTTATGTCACGGATTGTTTTTTTTTTTTTTTTTTTTTTTTTTTTTTGAAATGGATTGCCTCCTTTTAAGCGCTCAGCCGATAGGCAGCGCTTTTTGATTTCGACTTGCCTCTGAGTACTAGTATACTAATGCTAATTCGTTTAAATGGCGCACCAGCTCATCGATGTGTAGGCTTTTTGGGGGGGGGTCCAGTTTTAAAATAAATAAAGCTGTGAAAACCGTATTTTACGCTTTTAACGTAATGCGCGGGTAGTTTCGATCGTTTGTCTATAAGAAAATTCCTTAGCGGTAGAGTAATTCTTATCGAAATTGATCGTTGAACTCAAATGAAGCCAAAAAAACGCGCCTGATGAGCTCAACGGTGAGCTCATTTTCGGGAGACAAAAATACGCGTTTACGGTTTCCTTGGTAACCTTTGTTTGCTATCAGCTGATGTTTTATTTCCATTACCCAGCCAAGTCGACGGAGTTTATACTTCCTTTCTTCACTAAATACATTGACTAACACCTGATCGCTTTTCTAAGACGACAGTATTAGAACTTTCCCGCTTGTTTTTTTTTGAAATGGATTGCCTCCTTTTTTGTTTTCATCCACTTTTTTCCTGTGACCCTATGGATATACTTTAGCTTTAACAGCTGCGATTGCAATCAAGAGGTACTTTCCATGATTGGTGTCCGATTTCTTCAGTTCCTACCCTAAGTATTCAGGCGCAATTTTAGAACTTACTTTGCAGTTGCGCTTGTATTAATCACTGGTAAAAAAAAACACATTGGATCTACAGTCCAGACTCCTGAAAACATTGACAAGAAAAAGGACTCTCGATTCAATCAGATTTAAGCTCTAAGAACCAAGCCTCTTAATTTGAGCGGATTTCCTTTTGATTTAAGCTTAAATCTAAATGAATCAAGAGTCCTTTTTCTTTTCAATGTTTTCAAGAGTCCGGACTCTAGATCCGATGTGTTTTTTTTAACCAGTGATGGTCGGATATTGATGTAGCACTTAAAAAAATATGAATAGTTTCAAGTTCGGTTGTGAGATTTTTAATATTTGCACTTTTAGCTTTGATTTTTCAAATCACTCCCAGTCCAAGAGCTGTTGAATCCCCGAAGATATTAGATTCCACCTGTCTCCAAGAGATTGGTGAAGGGTCTCTTTTGTCCGTGGAATCCTTTTTCTGCGTTCTCTCGCTCTCCCTATTTTATAGCCTCGGGGTGGACACCCTGCCTCCAGACTTTAGTACCTCGGGGCTTCAGATGTCTCCATGAAGGGGATTTTTCCTCGCCCGGATCTGATAGGGGTTTCGGTATCCACCGCGCGGGCAGGTTGGGTCGCATGCAAATAAAGAGCTAATGTCCAAAGCTTATTAAGCTCTTAGCGTCACAACTCACACAGCGCTTTGCACGCAACGGAGAATGAACGATCGGCCAGTCCCCGCCCTCCGTTTTATCTTTCCACACGATAATCCGCTCATGAGTGGCATCGTATTTTGCGCGCCTCCCGGTTATAACTATACGTGAGCACCGTTGCAAACTCATACGCGGAGAGAAATTTCGACACAAAAGTTTGGTTAGTACGGGAGTAAAACACACGGAGAAAAAAACCTCGTGCGTGGGACCCGAAGTTTAGGTCATATGAATCTCTGAAGTTTTCAGATTGAGCATCTGAACACTTTAGATCTAGCTGTCGAGGTTCGAATCACACATCTGAAACTTCAGTTATTACATCTGAAGTACTTCAGATGTGAGAACCGAAGTTTTTCGGATGTGAGAACCGAAGTACTTCAGATGTAAGAACTGAAGTTTCAGATGTGTGACCCAAACCTCAGCAGCTGGACCTAAAGTGTTCAGATGCTCAATCCGAAAACTTCAGAGATCCATATGACCTAAACTTCGGGTCCCACGCACGAAGTTTTTTTCTCCGTGCACAAAATAACCCTAGCATCAGGGAGAAAAAAACTTCGTGCATGGGACCCGATGTTGAGGTCATATGGGTCTCTGATGTTTCCGGATCTCGCATCCGAAAACTTGACTTGTCGACTGCCGAATTTAGGGTCCGACATCTGAAGTACTTAGGTACATACCGAAGGGTTCGGGTCACACGTCTGAAGTATCCGGTACGTACCGAAGTGCTTCAGATGTCCGACCCGAACTTCGGCAGTTGGGCCTCGAGTTTTTGGATGCGTGATCTGAAAACTTCAGAGATCCATATGACCTTAACTGCCGGTCCCATGCACGAAGTTTTTTTCTCCGTGCACGGAGAAAAATAGAACCGCGCTGAGCACCAACTTTCAACTTCCACCGGATGTGATGGAGTGCAGGAAAGCATGTCGCCTAGTAGAGGAAGTATGTTTGAAAGCACAGGAGGAATGTACTGAAGACAGTCGCTGGCTGTGTCCAAGTGCGGATTGGAAGGGCAAAGCAAAATCCTCATCCACCGCATGTGCTGAGGTGCAGATTCTGGTGCTCAGCCCGGTTCTATTTTTCTCCGTGAGCCTTCGGTTGAAAATTTCAAGAGAAAATGCCAGCTTGTTTTCTTGAAGAAATTTAATAAAAAACGGGTAATAAATACCAACGGCGACAAGTAAGGCGAAAAGCTGAACACCTTTTATGCGACGTTCAGCTATTTCTGAGGCGCAAAAAGATAACAGAGATAGTTCACCAAAAACATTCACTCCCTGCAATGTCCCTTTTCCTATGAGGAGAATTAAATTTTGCATTCACGTGTATCAAACTTTTATCGGGTATAATTTGGACCGAGTTTAATAGAAAGGAACCAAGCCACATCAGCTATTGCCAAGTTTAACTGGGCAATTACATTTTTTACGAGGGAACGTCTGTTCGGATTTCTTTGAAAGTGTTAAGGAATTTGCTTCGCACCGTGGAGAATTTTCGCTGAACTTTGCACGAAAAACCGCACAACCGTTTTCATGTAAAAAATTAAACTGCCCAATTTAATTTGGCAATAGCTGATGTGGCTTGGTTCCTTTCTGTTTAACGCGGTCCATTTAAACTGACAATGATTTTTAAAAAGAGAAAATTCACCTGATTATATATTTGATCTGATTCGGCTCAAGAATGATCCCATCTAGCCTCAGCTTGTATTTGAAGCGTCCTCTTCTCGACGATCAGGTACCTTTCGTCTTGTAGGCTGTCCCCGTTCCATAGGTAATTGAGCCAACAAGACTGGTTGTTCCCGCGAAAACTCGCCGCCAATTTCGCACTCGCATTTTTCAATTCTTCCCGCGATTCGAAAACCTTCAAATGCGCCTCGGTTAGTGTCCCATTCTTCGGTTGTAACTCGTTCCCAAGCTCCATATGGATAGCGAACGCCATCAAGACCTCTCTCTTCCGAAGCCCGAAAACCAGATGGAAAGCCGGACCTGCTATGATAGAGAAGAGAGCAATAAGTGCAAACATGTACCTAGTTTTGAGAAAACGGGCTCAGAAGCTTCTGACCGGAAAATTTTATTGAAAGAAGCCTTTGTTCTTTGTAAATTTTCCGCTGATCGTCCGAAAGACTCCTAGAAATTGTCTGGATGCCTAAAAATCTACCGATTTTATTTCATTTTTTAAAAAGGGTATTTTTCATTTGGTCGTAGATTTGGGAAAAGCCTATGATAGCGTGCCTTTAGTGAAACTGTGGGAGGCCTTGGAAAAATCTGATTTTCGTGGACTAATTAATGCAATTAAGCTTTTTTATCAAGGGACTTTCGCAAGAATTAAATGTAAAGGGGGCTTGTCGGGGGTTTTTATGTAACAAAGGGGCTGAACCAAGGGTGTTGCCTCTCCCCCACCTTGTTTAAAATATACTTAGAACATGTACTGCGTGAATGGAAGAAAAAATGTTCCGGAATGGGTGTCCCTCTGAATGATGAAGAAACTCTGTACACGTTATGCTTTGCTGATGACCAAGTACTTATCGCCCAAGATCAGAATGATGCTGACTACATGACTCGAAAGTTGGTGGCTGAGTATCGGAAATGGGGCCTCGAGGTGAATGTCAGCAAAACCGAGAAGTTGACCGTTGGCGGGAATCAGCAAAGTATAGAATTGGAGGATGGGCGGCAAATTGGAAGCTGCGATATTTACAAATATTTAGGAGTGTTTTTAACCCAGGATGGAAGATTGGACCAGGCCATCAAGAAGAGGAATATGCTGGGTAGGAGGGCAATCGCTATGTTAAATGGAGTCCTTTGGGACCAAAGGATCTCCAAAGAGAACAAAAGAAGGATCTACAACGCGATTGTCAAGAGCATAGTAACCTACGGGTGTGAAGTATGGCCGATGAAACAGCGGACCCGGGAGGTTTTAGAGGCAACAGAGATGGACTCCTGGTGTAGATCCGCTGGTATTTCCAGAAAGGATCGCGTCAGAAATGAGACGGTACGGGAGATCATAGATGCCAAGCAGACCATCGTGCATGACATTATGACAAAACAACTCAATTGGTATGGTCATGTCCAGAGAATGGCAGGAGACAGGTTGCCGAAGAAGGTCCTTGACTGGGTTCCTCCTGGGAGAAGACGCAGAGGGCGCCCAATGAAAGGTTGGAGGGAAGGGATTGAAGCGGAAATGTTAAGGTGCTCAATCCCCCAAGATTTGTGGTTTGAAAGAGAGCAGTGGAGGTTAGCGGTCGTAGAGCGCGAGGGAGTGCTGTAAAGTCATGTTAGGCTATTATTAGGCAAGACAGCCGTAAGTACTATCAGCTGTATACTTTCGTGGCTGCGTTTTGGACGCCTAACAAACACATTTTCAGGGCAGAAATCGGTAGAAAAGGGCGGTACTTTACTCGAAAGCACTGCTTTCATTGGCTAGTCTCTGGAGGAATAATGCCACTCACGGCTGTTTTGTCTAAAACTGCGTCATTTTTTGCGCACTTGCAGCTTTCTCATATGTTTCGTTCTTTTAATTATAAAATGAATTTTGCTGTTTTAGTTATTTCAGTGATTTTATCTGAAAGACATTAGACGAATTTTGAAACTGGTAAAAAAACCCTCTTGGTTCAAGAGTGCAGTTTCTTGTCGCCGGATTTAAGAGTCTTGAATTCTTGTTTCAAGCGGATTTTGCATTGATTCAATTCACGTTTGAATTGAATCAATGCAAAATCCGCTTGAAACAAGAGTTCAAGACTCTTAAATCCGGTGACAAGAAACTGCACTCTTAAGTCAATGCAACGCGGCATTGGTCCAAGAGGTTTTTTTTACCAGTGGAAAGAAACCCGATTCCGGACACACAACAAACACATTTTCAGGTTAGAGTTCGGCAGAAAAAGGCGGCACTTTACTTGAAAGCATACTTTTTTCATTGACTCTCTGGAGGAATAATGTCACTTACGGCTGTTTCGCCTGAGACTAGTCATTTTTTGCGCACTTACGGCTTTCTCATGTTTCTCGTCTATATACAATTAAGGTGAATTTTGCTGTTTTAGCTATTTCAGTGATTTTATTAAGACCGATTGGACGAAATTTGAAGGAAACTTGATTTAAATAATTTGACACTTACCGCTCTCTTGGCTGTCACGCCAGAGGTGCTGGTTCGTCTGTTCCTCGATCATGCTCGTGTCCACGTATGTGACGTTGAATTTATTTGGGAGCCGTGGGGGGTTGATGAGTTGAACCCGGAGGGAGTGCGCTAGCGTCGTCGCCGGAACTGGTCCCTTCCGTTCTTCGGCCACAAGGACCACGACCAACATGTCCAGAAACCGGCGCATGTTCAGGTGGGAACCGTCCACGTCGAAGAGCGCCTCGAACAAGTCGTCCCGGAATTGTTTGTTTCCGTGTATTGGGCATTTGCTCGTCGTCACAGCCATGAGCAACTTCGAGACGTGTTGTTTTACCTGAATCAAGAGAAATATAAATCACTGTTAGACTGCTATGCGGAAGAGAGGCTGCCAAAAGAGATGCTTGATTGGGTTCCTCCTGGGAGGAGACGTAGGGGACGCCCAGTGAGAGGTTGGCGACAGGGGGTGTTAAACGAGATGAGGGAGTGTCAAACCGAGCTTTGTGGCGATTAGGCGTCGTAGAAAGCGACTCATGTACAAATATGTATGTATGTAGACTGCTATGCTAAGGAAAAACGCCATATGGGCCTTCAGGCGTTGCCAAATTTCCTTAGACAAATCACTAATTTTCAGGGAAATATGTGATTTTTTTTTTTTAGTTGGCCTCCTATGGTGTAGTGGTTGTAGCGCTAGCTCTATAATCGGGAGGTCCCTGGTTCGATTCCCGGCCAGGCAACCCGAGTTTGATGGTCTCAGACAATGGTTGCCTGGGACTGGTTGTTAGGGCCGGAGGGGGGATGGGATTAAAAGTGCAGGGTTAGCCCTTGTCGGCTACTTGAAATAGAAAAAAAAACACACCTCTAACTGAATGCAACATTGACATTGTGACTATACCTTCTCATGAAACTGAGTTCCCAAATGAATCTTGAAACCTTATAGTTGGATTGCATTTTGCAAACAGGAACCAGGATCATTGCAATGTTGCTAAGATAGTGCAAATTCTTTTGTCTCGGAAGAAAAACCTGATAATCCACAAGCAGTTTCTAGTTTAGTCGCTAAAAACTGTAAATTTAAGACAAAATTACAATGATAATTTCATATTTTGTCATGGTTTCAGTAATTTAATTGCAAAGGAAGGAAATGCACAATGTTAGCATCATCGCAATTCTTCTAGTTCCTTTTTGCAAAATGCAATCCAGTTTATACTCCTGCCTATTAATCGCTAAGGTCAGTCAGGGCGTCAACCCGCAGGACCGGCTTAGCGCTCAAAGGTCCGCACACTTGCGGATTGCATACTCTCTAAGTTGAAGGCATTTCACGTTTCCCAGAAAACGAATGGTTCATTTAAAGCTGCGACTTCCTCCCCCCCCCCCCCCCCCCCGGTCCCAGCCCTAACGATCATTTCATTCAAGGGCAGTAAAAATATTAAAATAGCCCTCAAACTAGGGATGCCACACATATATAGTATGTATTTTCATGGAATGAAAATTAACCACATGCCTAAAGAATAATTGGGTCAGTTGCGCTGGTCAATGAATCGTGTTTCGATGATTGATTCTTGTTGATCGGCTAAAAATTATAAGATCTGTCCAAACGGTAACTTTCTACGTTCAAAATTAAACGAGATATCGCCCTTTGAAAAGTCGGGTTTCTGACGTCATCCACCGCGGGAGTGACGCCCTTGGTTTGTTCCACCTTGCTTTCATCTGAGTTTCGCGTTGAACAACTAGTGCAAATGTGCGTCACACCGGCTGATGAAAGTAAGGTGGAAGAAACCAAGGGCGTCACTACCGCGGTGGATGACGTCAAAAACCCGACTTTTCAAAGGGTGATATCTCGGTTAATATTGAACGTAGAAAGTTGCGGTTTGGACGGATCTTATTATTTTAGATAATCTACAAGGATCAAGGAACAAAACACGATTCTTTGACCAGCGCAACTGACCCATTAGCAGACTCTAGAATATTCCCCCAAAACAGCAAGTCCATCTATGATTTTTTATACACCGGCAGCAGCCTGATTGTTGAAATTTTTTGTTTGTCGGGACGACATAGATTACATAGGTTAAAAGGCGGAGCGTGATTAGTCGGCTATGTTTTATCGCTGCTTTGTCGTGCCTATATGTCGGGTTGAACTCACGACAAGCTAACGGCACCTCTTAAGTTACCGACAGTATGTCGTCCACTCCACCTGACAAAGGTACGACAAAGCAGCGATAAGACATAGCCGACCAATCACGCTCCGCCTTTTAACCTATGTCATCTGTGTCGTCCCGACAAACAAAAAATTTCAACAATCAAGCTGCTGGACAGTCTCCATTGACGAAACTATAATATAACTCCTCGGGGGGGGGGGGGGGGGCNCGGGGGGGGGGAGGGGGGCAGATAGGTATCTATCTCATCAAGGGGGATCCGGATATACCTTTTCGCTGCAAAGAAAGGTTCGATGAATAAATTGTTCCAGCTTTAAAGGGGGGTCCGGAGTAAATACTAGACTTGCCTCTTGATTCGGTATCTGGTAGGTGTAGGTGGCAGGAGATGCTGCCGAAGGAAACAAGTAGCCACTATTCATGAGATACAAAGTAAGAGCGGCACGCGTAAGGCTCGTGCACTCGCCAGTTCTCCGCAACTCCTGTAGTCCCTTCACCAATCTGTCTGTCCATCCGTCTGCAACAACCCAGGCACTGGCAAAGGGCATTAAGGCGGTGCACTCTTTGAAACACTCCAGCAAGTGCTGTCCGAAACACTCCGGTAAGAAAGCCGCTGGGAACGTCAACAGTGAGTCCAGCTCGGTCCAGTAAGATCTCAGCCTCGTCGAACCACTCAGCAAGAACCTAATAGAACAAAATAATTCAGTAACGTCCCTTCAGAGCGTTTTATTTTTGCAGTGGTGCAATTAGTATATCATCTGGATCAATCGAAATTAAAATCATATGGATAATGTGCATAACGGAAGTATTTTTGTTTTTTGAGTTGAAATTTCTAATCCTTATAATTGATTTTTTCGATTAGTTTTCTGACTAACAGGTCTTCGTCTTCCACATAACCATTCCAATTAGAGCAATAAAATCAACGAATCCATGCTAAAAGGAACTATGTTCCACGCAATCCCTATGTAGATAGGTCCTTTAAGCATAAATACGTCCAAATGATCCAGACACCTTCGACTGGATACGCCTTCAAGTGATTGTGATACTCCAAGCCCTTCTGCAAAGTTAGTTAAGTTGCTTCGTCAATCCAAACCAAACTTGTTTAGGAAATCTGATGTACATTATGACTGGAAATGATAGTTGACCCGACGTTCTTGAAAGTATTTTAAAACGTTTAGCTCCTAAAATTGAAAATTGGTCTGTTTTTGACCCGAAACTATGTTTTCCGCTCACAAAACAAATTGAAATGCTGATTTAACAATTCAATTGCAAAAAAAGTGACTGCAACGTTTCAATGTAGATTTTACAACAAACAAATGCTATATTCGAACCACCCCCGTGGTCAAATTAGCTTACAATAGAGGTTGAAGTAGCAGTTTTATGTTGTGAAATCTACGTTAAATTATTGCAGTCACTTTTTCAGCAATTGAATTGTTAAATCAGCAATTTAATTTCTTCCGTGCTGCTTTGAATAATTGAATATCCACCTCATAAAGGCACAGTTTGCCTGACTCATTCAAACCTTGCTTTTTAGGCACATACGCAGAAATAGCTATGATATTTTAAAACATGTTTGCGCGGCGCCGTGAGCTGTGACAAAATGAACATAAACCAACCTGTAGATGGAGTACGGATTGAACTGCCGTGTTATCGGCTTGACGGCGTTTCGAGGCAACCAGGTGCCGACCTGGTTTAATTGTAAGCCATACCAAGTGTCTAGTTGGTCCACCGTCTGATTTATTCCCCATGCCGCTATCAGTCCTGCCACTTGGGACTTCGATAGACTGAAGAATTTCGCGAACTCGTCAGAACGTGTCATGCTCTGAATAAGACCCTCCGGGAATAGGCCCTGTCGTAGAACTCCTATGTTAAATCGAAACAAAAACTAAGACTGAAAAAAGAAAAAAAAATTGCCTAAAAATGATTCCCATTTCCTTTTTTGGGTGCTTCTTTTGTAGCCCACTTTTTGCATGCCTACTTTAATTTTCACTGTTCCTCCAGTAATATTTGAGGTCCTCATAACACGTTTCCAGTTAGCTTTAATCTTTAGAAAATTCTGGGTCATATTAACAGTTTTCCATTATGTTTAGGGCCTCTTTTAAGCTTGAGAAATTTATTTGTTATGAAAGTCTTAGAGTTTAAAGGCTGATCGTAAATATGACCCTTGATTTTTGATGAAGAGCGAATGAAAATTTTTGCAGAGAGAAATGAGATAGTTACCAAACTGGCATAATTTTGAAACAAATCTCATGAAGTTTTGTTAACACCTCAATAATTTTAATCAGAGGCATATTTTTGTAATTTGGTGTGTTAACCGTAATTTTAACTCAGGAACACGACATTCGGTGCTGAAAGGTTGTATTTCTGTCTCTAATGAATCCAACGTCTTTTTGGAAATAATTTTTATGGTAATTGATAATGATGGACGGATTGAAAAAAAAACACACTGAAAAAAAGTATCACAATCTCAACGATACTTTCAGCTGATTGTGGTGGCAGGCATAAGAGCAGTAGCACTAGTCAGAAGTGTAAAGGCACCAGCCAGCGGTATCGTTAATCTAACCACACTTTGCTGACTGTGGGGGTTCCAGCTGAAGGTATGGTTGATCCAACCACACTTTCAGCTGACTTAATCATACCTCTGCCTTGTGCAACTACTCTTATAGCTGGCGCCAAAATCAGCTAGGAGTATAGTTTTTTTTTTTTTTTTTTTTTTTTTTTTAACCACTTCAAACAGCCCACGAGGGCTAATCCTTGCGTTTTAGTCCCGTCCCCCACCGTCCCTACAACCAGTCCCAGGCAATCATTGTTTGAGACCATCAAACTCGGGTCGCCCGACCGGGAATCGAACCCGGGACCTCCCGATCTTAGAGCTAACGCTACAACCACTACACTAGGAGGCCGACGATATAGTTGGGATTGTGATATCGTTTTTCCGTGCATTTCATTCTTATTTACCTGTAATGAAGGATTTCAAGGCAGCGTGATCAGCTAAGCAATCTTTTAAATCATCTTCAAGACACTTCAGTTTATCCAATGCATCATTAGAACGTTGCCTTGGATCTGAGTCAAAGAGCAACTCGTAAATCTGAGAGTCAATGTTGTCCACCAAAATAATGGGCTGTTTCTGGAACTGCTTCCGTAAAAGTCTCTTCAGGAGTATAATACCGTCAGTAACCTTACGATATATCTCGTGAAGATCCTGGGTATGCTGCAGGTATCGTCGCATTCGTCCTTTTTCTTCATTAGATATTATCGGCGAATGTATCAAATAAGCGTGGTCTAAAAACGCTGATTTAATGGGACCATTGAGAAGAAATCGCAGAAATGATGGTGAATCATGTGTTTTATTGCCTTTTGTGTCGAAGTCAAGGAAAATGACCGGGTGCTCCCCAAAATTACTTTCAAAGAACTTTTTTTGCTGGAAGATGTGTAAATGTGCACCCGTGCTAGGGATCGTATCCGCGAATGTTCGGTAATTTTTATGGGTGCGTTTGTCGGTTTTTTTGGTTCCATTCTCGTGGGTGTCGATTTCTAAAAAGCGTTTTAACATGTCCAAAATCGTCGATTTCCCGAACCCCCGAGGTGCGCAGAAAATCACGCGGTCATCCTCTGAGCCCATGAAAGTATCGATAAAGGCCGTCTGGTCGATGAAGAGGTTACTGTTGCGAAGCATATCGAAGGGCCTGTAAGGCAGTGTCGCATCCTCCGAGATCTGCCGACAAAATCCGAATGAAATATTATTTAATATCTTATTTACGCGTGAACGAAATGTAATAAGTTAAGCCTGGGTTCATGAGAAAAAAACTGAAGAAAGTGACCGTTATTATTTTTGTAATACTCTCAGTGACGCAGGAAAATACAACAAATCGAAGTAGCACATGCAGCAATGAATTGCAATAATATCGCAGGAAAAAAGTCTGTTCCACGCAAGGGACACAACCAACTCAATAGATCGTATTCGATACATCAAACAGGTGAGATTGTATCGGTATCGATTGGTTCAAAACATAAACATAGCCTCAAAAGTCAATTTAGAAATCGGAGGGAACGGGTCTTTTGTAACAGATGTTTTATTCTTTTGAGTAGGTACCAAATGCCAATGCAAAGTGAAATTGTAAGGAATTTTCTCATTTTCAGCTTTTCCAACTTAAATCCTAACAGTTTGGTTTGAAGTTATGTTCCATTGTTTTGAACCAAACGATACATCGCACCATTATCGAATACGGTCTATAGACTTTTTACAAGGAAAACCGCACAAAAAGCACGGTGGGAACATTATAAAGTGTGCAATCGACTCTTAAACGCGTAATCTGCGTATATGTCGCAGGCAATTAGCAATCGCCGGCAGTTTGCAAGCGTTTACATTTGTTACGATGCGAATCAGCGTAATGAAGGCCTTATGGGTTGAGGCCTTCAAAAGCGTGATCTCGTATTGGAGCGCCTTCATTTTTTGTGATACTCAACGCTCTGGCACGGTGTTAGTTTAGTTGCGTGACCCAACTGAACCCAACTAAGGTCATGGCCTCCACCACACGTGCTCATGAGTTTACCTGTTACTACCATGCTTTTAGTGAGGGAAAAATGTCCACCCCCATTAAAGGATAAATAATAATCAGTACTTTAATCTTGTTCCTATATTTCTAAAATCTATTCTTTTCTATTTATTCATTTATGGCTGTTGTTGCTTTTATGGGTTTGCACGGATAGGGGATTAAAGAACCTAATCTGACTAAACTGACAATTTCACAAATTTTTTCCAATGTATGGTTTCAATTGAAGATCACAAATTTTGTTTTCTTCCTCTTTCCTTGGTTTGCAAGTGCAAAAACTTCAAATGAATCGCTATCTTATACAGGCAAAGTTTTTACCGGTTCGCGAGATCGTTCGACTCGGTAAGGTTTTCTTAAGTGAAAATCACAAATAAAGAGAAAAATAGTGTAGCTGTAATACCTTTCATTCTGTGGGTAGTTTAATACATGCTAAGCGCTTTTCGACTGACAAGAGCGACCTCATCAGACAATTGCAGTACAATCAATCAACGAAACAAAGCAATACAGTATCGGTAACAGTAATAAGAACTTAATGTTTTTAAGTTTCGTCTCTCTCGTTAAACCTGACCAATGACTATCGGCCACTATGAAAAGCTGCCCGCACCAACGGCAAAGAATAAGCGTGTTATAGACAACACAGATTGCGCGCTGAGGAGTTGCGTAAAGACCCGTGGCGTGAACTTTTAGCACTTGGGGCTTAAGAATGTTGTCGGCGACCCTTCTCCCCCCCCCTCCCCCCCCGGATCCTGAGAGAAGGTTGCGGGGAAAGGGTTCCCTAAAAATTTTTGAATTTTAAGAGATCATTATTTTATCTATTTTTCGTTTTTCCCGTCCTTTTTTCTTTCCGACTTTTTGGCGCCCCCCCCCCCCCCCCCCCCCCCCCNGCCTTGAGCAACCGCTCCACTTGCCTATAGGACGCCACGGCCCCGACTGCTTTTCCAGAGTATAAACTTTTTTGAAGTGACAGCTCTCTGATCGTGTGAAGATGAGGGAAAGCTCTCTGTAAAGCTCTCGGAAAGTTAAATAGGCAAATATGCTTTGATCCCCGGCTGCAGGTGTACGTGCATTGAAAAACGGACGTATTTCTGCCAAACGGAACTATGTGCATTAAGACATGAGCCTCGAGACCCATAAGAATATATGCATAACAGGGCTCACGTCATGATACAAAAAGTTCCGTTTGGCAGGAATACGTCCGAGTAAGCCATTACGTAGCTCCGAAAGTTGAAATGATTTATTTTCCGCGAGAGTCCGTCGTTTCGCGATGTGTTTCCACGGCTCTCGTCCGTGATTTTTAATCTCTGTCACCGCATACGGAACATCATTTCCGCGGCGGGAACTCTTACGCTGGCGCTTTTGTCAAAGAGCCACCGATGTTTTTTCAGCAAGTGTTTTCGGGACCGTAACTCGGTCACTAACTCCCGAGCCTTGATTTTTTAAGCCCTCGAACGGCTCTGTGAACGACCATGGGTGACGGAGGGGAATCCAGGGAACCGCTCGGCTGTTGCCAATTTTACCTGGAAAAACCAGATTTGGAACACCGGAGACGCAAGAGATCACTCATTCTCGTTTCCTAGAAGTTTATCCTACGAGCATGTGTGTAAAGGTTGGTAAATCCAAAAAATGCGTAGCTTCATTAAAACAAGGTTGCCACAGCCAGAGAATACCGAGAAACCCGTGAAATTTCAGGGAATTTTGAATGATGAAAATATGAATGAGTGATGAATTTACTTTTATTTTTTGTAATCCTTGTTAAAATTGGCTGTGATATTTGTACCTACTTGAAGTGAAATAAACGTATTTAATTTGAATTTGAAGAAGTCAGGGAAAACCGGGAAATGTCAGGGAAAATGACGAAAATGTCAGGGAAAATTTGTTAAATTTAACTTTAATTACTTTGTAGAATGCGGGTTTGAGGTTTTGAACAACAAATTTTGCCCGAAAACTATTTTGAATTATGTCTTATTAACCATCTTTCATATCCTCGGTTGTCAGGGAATTTCACCAAACTGTGACAGGAAAATCAGGGAAATGTCAGGGAACTTATTTTTCCAAATTTTTGCAACCCTATTAATCACGATCATTTTCATGACGAAAGAACGTAACTCCGTTTCAATGTTGCCAAATTTTCCCTCACAATAGCATATTATCCTGAAGGATTTTGGGCGTTTTTAATTGAAAATTTCACGGATTTTTCTTTAGATTTCATGCACAAATAGACGTATTTTTGCTAAAAGGAACTATGTCTCACGCAAGCCCTATGCACATAGTTCCTTTCAGCATACAGACGTCCAAATGAGGAAAATGTTGCGGATAAAAAATTGCCCAGGTACATTTTTGTAAAATACATCGCGTATTAATCAATTCGGCAACCTTGGAATGGAGTTACTTCCTTCGTCCGGGAAACTACGAAATTGTATTTATTTTTTTTTTTTATTCAGTATTATATACAATTTAAATATACAATGCGGAGATGTGAGCAGACTCATGGAGTCTTTTAACACTTATATTTAACCCTGCAAAAATACAGTATGAGAAGGGCACTTTTTGGCGGTCTATTGACACTAATATTAAAAAGACAAAATGTGAAAACTGAAAATATGGTAGTGAAAACTGAAAATATGGTAGGGAAAACTGAAAATATGGTAGGGAAAACTGAAAATATGGTAGTGAAAACTGAAAATATGGTAGCGGGAAACTACGAAATGCTTCAAAATCCTGAAAGGGCAATCAGACAAGGTCTGTATTAGAAAAAACTTCATTTTAATGTCTTGTAAATATCGTGTAGAAAACGTTTCACTCTACGAAAATTATGCATATCAACTCTTGAACGGAATATTAGCCAGTATTTTAAACACAGATAAAATTCGAGTGTTTTCGCTTTCAGTGTGGAAAGTCTTTTCCAAGAGTTTCTCCTAGAGGTTTCTCCTAAAACTGCACGAAGTGATCGCGGTCGAGGGTAGAGCGGTTTTCGACTCAAACTTGACATCGGTGAGCCGCAAGTTTTTATGACGATCAACATCGGCTCAAACGCGAGAGACATGATGCCTCGCCGATGAATTTTAATTGAAAAACTTGCGCGGCATACATCATCGCTCTTGGGATGGGGGAGGGGGAGGCTGAACACGAGGGGGTGGTACAC